GTATATATATATATCTTTCTAAGAAAAAATTAATAATCTACTAATTTATAATCTCAAAAGTTTTCATTTTTAACTCATAATTTTTTAACATACAACATAATTTTTACTGCAAATAAGATAAAATTTAAATCATATTAATTTATTATTATGCTTACAATTAATTCTTCTATAAAAAAACCCAACTTAAACAAAAAAATATTTTAATGTTGGAAAATTAATTTATTTTCTTATCAAATAATAGATTTACGACGGGGGTCATGCCGGTAGGGCTTGATCCGACATTTTACTTTTGAAACTCCGTTTTGTAACGGAATAAGCAGAAACAAAAAAAATTTTGCAACCACCGAAAAAATGGAGTTTGGCGAAAAGGAATTATGGTTAAGCTTTTATTCCAAACAGTTAGGGTAACTAGTTTCTGCTTATTCAGATGGAGAAAGGAGAAAATAAGCCTAGTCAAACGAGGCCTTAGTCTCTAACTAAAAGATCATTGCAAGTCGTTAGGCTCTGACTGTGACTTCCATTGTCGTCTAATCAATTCAAGAAGGATTATTTTTAATAAATTTTGTATAAAAAATATATCAATTATAAAGCAATAGAAACACATATTTGAAGACCTCGCATAGTCAAATTTAAGTCTGGCCAAGAAGATTTTGATTCGAATGTCCCACGCAGTCGATCTTAGAATAATTGATTGATTGGAATTTATTATGATCATTAGAATTCTCTACATTATCTATTACATGAAAGTTGAGAGGTCGCAAATGCCTGTCTTCCAAGCTATTTAATGACATTTGTAATCATCATTACAATTAAGTTCATTCTACTACCAAAATTTCTATAAGCAAAAGGGGTGAAAATGTTCTTCCATTTATTTTTATCCTGCTTCTCATCATTCTCTCAAATGTCATCCAGCATAAATGAAACCCTTTTTGGATTTTTTTTTTTTTCCAAAATACTATCTTGAAGTGTTTCAAATGTCTCCAAATGAGATATCTCTTTAAGAGATTCCAATATATATAACATACAGTGAAAGACTTCGAATTGTGGTGGCATTTCAAATACTATTCCCTTTGAAATATTAGAGGTTTATGGCTGTCAAAATAATACCTCTTTTTCTCTAGCTAATTAAAATTAATTAATGAGTCAAAACTAATTGGTTAATTTTAAATCCCAGAGTTTTGAAATATGAGAGCATTTTAAATACTAGAGTTTTTTAAATATAAGAGCATTTTAAATGATATTTTAAATTTGAGAGTTTTAAAAATTCTAAAGTTTTAAAATTGAGATTAATATAATTAACCAGAAAATTTGTTTTGGTTAATTGATTAGTTGAGTAATAAAATAAAAATGCATGAAGAGAAATGTTGTTTTCTACTAATCAGATATATACAAACAAACTCAACTCTCAACACAATCCCTTACAAACCATAAAACTCTCCAAACAAACAACTATCAAAATAACACAACCACTCAAACTCAACTCAAGACAACTCTCAACACAACTCAGAACTAATTGCTCACCAACTCACAAAATAGAAGCTCTCTTGTACAAGACTCTCCACAACATACTCTGCAAGTTGTTCTCCGAAATCTCTCATATTTGAACTCTTGCAACAAACTAATGAAGCTCATTAAACATTGAAATAAAGTAATATTCAAATAAATGCTAAAATAGATAATACTGCAATAAACTACTAGGTCACTAGTGCAACAAAAAAATAAACTATTGGTACTGAAAAGTAACTATAAAATAGTAAGAAAAGAGATATTATAGCAAAAAAACTAAGTGTCAAGCTAACAAATAATATATGTGCACACAAACAAATAAATAATTAAATCTTTGGGCATTATAGTCTATAGGATTAGGTTATAAGACCCGCCAATGGACAACTTCTGAAGGAAAGTAATAAGCCCAACATTTTAGAAAAATTGCTAAATAAATTGCAATACCCCTAAAACCCAAATAATCTAATTTAAATCAATAGGCATTATAGTTTATAGGATTATGTTGTAAGACCTGCTATTGAGTTAATTCAAAAGGGAAGCAGTAAGACTCATTTTACCTAAATAACTAGGTAATTTCTAATAGGAGTTGTAAAGCCTGTTATTTGGAAAAAAATTAGATATCAAACCCTCAAATAATCAAATTAAAATTACTGACATCTTAATCTAAAAGGTAAGTTATAAGATCCGTTTTTCAGGCAACTTTTTATGAGAAGTCGTAAGACCTACCCAAGACAATTAAATCTCTAGGTAATCTTGTTATAGAGCTAGGCTGTAAGTCCCAGCATTGTGTAATTCATAAATAGAGCAATAAGCCCCACTTTAAATTAAACCTGCGGGCTACTTTCTATGAAATCCATAAGTCAATCTTGACTAAAATTTAAACACCTAGGCTACTTCCAAAAGAAAACGTAAGATCTGCTTCAATTCAAACTCATGTATAACTTCTAAATGAAATTATAAACCCTAAACTAAATTAATTTATGGGTATTCTAATAAATGTAAATGCCAAAACTCAAATAAATAAATAAATAATCAAATTTAACCATCTCAGTCTACTCGGGATCCCTGAAAGGAGGTAACTCATGGCTGCTAATTAGATTATTTGGACACTACAGTCAATTATTGTTTGTGTTGGTAGATTGAAACTGTGATATACACGGGATGACAAAATCATGGGATCTTAATCAGATTTACCTCCATTTTTTCCACAATTGAGATTAAACACCTAAAAAATATTCAACATTAATTGAGTGTTCTCTCTTATATGTTAAGATGGATAATGAACTATGAGTTCTTGTGCTCATGGGAAGTAAGGACCCCATATTTAATTAAACCCTAATATTATCTTCAGGTTAAATTCAATTAATTATAATCTGACTTAAGAGAAATGGAATCATATGGCTGTAAAGAGGGATTCATGTATTTATGTCGTGTTATTTATTTATTTTTATTTTTTTTGAACCAACAAGGCTTGAATAACCCTTCTATGAAAATCTTAATAGAATTACCTCAAGATAACAATTTTTATATTAGAGTAACTTATCTTGCCAAGTTAAAATCATGAGAGGAGAATATGGTAAGCCCATGGCCCTGCACACCCCCCCCCCTCCAAATTTATTAGTGTTAATAGAAAAATAACAATAATTAATTATATTAGTGATAGAAGAACAACATATGGTTTGTGGTGTAAAGCCCATGTTGAATGTTTCGTGAAGCACATTAAGGGAAAAACTAATGAGCCTAAAGTGAACTTAAACTATAGTTGACTATTTTATCAAAAGTGGGTTATTGTTAAGGATAATGAATTGACAAGTATGATGAGTTAATTGCACTGCCATTATTAAAAGTCAAGAAAATCATTTACTTACAAACTACATGCATGAACTATAATAATTATATAATTATAACTTTGTTTGTATCATAACATAAAATAAGCTACAATTTGATGTGCATGAGTTTCCATAGGGAACGAAATATTGCAGATATGCATAAGCATAAAATATTTTGAAAAGTCTTTTAATAGAGTAGGAAAATTTATTATTTATACTATTAATATAAAATATGAAAATTATTTTAATAGATGGATTTGTTATGAACCATAATTTTGTAGACAATGTTATCGTTCAAATGTATGTGTTGAATCTTAATTCTTTGATTGATCAAATATCATTCTTTATTCTATTGATTTGTTATGAAGAAGAATAGTTTACTCATTTGTGACAAATTCTATGTTTTATTCATTTGTTAAGAGATAAGCTTTTTGTGAAATAATTGTGATTCAACATTATATAAGTTACATTAAGGAATGAGGTGGTTTATGGTAGAGTACAAAAAAAAACTCAAATTCTTGGCCTTTTTTTCAAAGCAAGCTTTTTACCAGTCATCATATGGATTACAATTTTTTATGAAAAAGAGTATTTGATAGACTTGACTTCTTTTCAAGTGATATATATAATGATACTAAGCAGTATATTGTGAAATGTATACAGACTGCATGATTGAAATGAAATAATTATCATTACTTAGGCCTCGTTTGGGATGGTTTGCTTATTGCTTCTTAAAGAAGCTTTTTAGAACAAAAATTTTAATTGTACAACTAAAAAGCTACTTTAAGAATCAGTAAGAAAGCCATCCCAAACAAAGCCTTAGTTATATAGTGACAGTTTATTTTATTCATGTCACTCTTGGTCGACATGGTTGTCTTCTAGTAGCTATGAATATAGTTCAATTATTTTTTTTCTTTATTGCATAGAAACCATAATATAGGATTGTGTGGAAGATACATTTGTTTGTTATGCTATATTTATGAACTCTAAAATACTTTGTATGTTATGTTTATAGTGGATTATCTACAATCATATTATACAAATAATGAAAATGTTATATATAAGGTGACATTCTTCATTTCAATTCACACATTCTACACTTCGCCTTATTACTCTTAGTGTGAAACAATCCTTCAAATTTGTAGGCTAGCTAGATTACACATCATTAGTAGCTCTCAACCATAGAGAGATGAGCCATTCATTATTGATGATGATGCAAAATTCTACTACAAATATCAGGAAGCATCCATCACAAACTCTAAAGTACTCATTCAAGCACAATTAAACTATCAAGTAATAAACTCCTTATTTCCTCTACCTTCCTTTATCATACTCAGCTCTTGGAATTTTTTCAAATCATA